ACCGAACGTTATATATTGACATATATTCTCTGTTGTGTATCTCTTCGTGTTTGCATCTCTTCGAGATTATATACCTTGTATATTGATAACCCTCACAGTAAGGTCTGCCGCTCGTATCCAGGCAGACTAGTATATGCTTGGTGCACAATTTATATTAATAAATGTATCTCGTGTATTGAACCCGTGTGTGTAAGTTGATAGTTGTTCTGACGATTGATTTTCTAAAAGCCCCAACGAACAACCTCGTGATTACTGCTACAATAAATAATTGTCTCAGTAAACCTATCAAACCACTACATTTAATGGCGTCCCTGGGTGGGCGAGTTTAGAATGAAATGAGAATCAATCGCACAGAATAACTGATGTTGCTGTGAGTTCAAGTTCAGCACAGCACCGCGGCTTCTATATGCGTATACCGGGTGTGCTGATAACTGCGTAAATAAATCCTCCTGTTTTCTAGCATTTAGTGTAACGTGTGCTGATTGGAAATCCATCTGCTCGGGTGTCTAGGTTCCATACTGTATTTTGGTAAAAGAAAAAGCGACGACAATCCTGGTTACTGGAGCGGTATCGAAAAGTTGAACTTTGATGATATTGAGAAGCTGCAAGTAGATTTAGTAGCTAACGTAGCTAACCAGCTTAACACAGGAGAGTCTGTGAACGCAGTTCAGGTCCTATCTAGTTTCGCCTTAAATCTAGCTAAACAGCTGGAACTGTCTTTGTCCGAGCTGACAAAGTTTCAAAAGCTTCAGGGAAAGCTAGAAAGATACAAGGTGGAGCGAGTTGAGTTGTTGGATATAATCAGAGAAAAAAGAGAGTGAAAAATGACAAAAGTGAAGACAGACTCAGGGAAGTTTTAGGTAAATTAGATGACTTGTCTGCTAGAGAAATTGCGGCTGAGGTAGCTAGGAGAGACCTGGAAATTGAGAGTTTAAATGAGCTCAGCCAGGAAAGGCAAAAAGAGTTAGATGCTGCCGTACTGGAAGCAAAACAGGCTAGTCCTGCGCGAGACGCAAGGGCGATTCAATTCAGGCATAGACCCCCTGCTCCTGATCACGGCCTTCTCCCTGCATGCGGAGAAACCGTAAAAATTAACCTCCACTCCCTGAGACAGTTAGCCAAAGATGTAGAAAGGTTTGACCCGTCAGTGTCAGGGAATAATGTGGAAACCTACATCGATGAGCTGAGATATACTTTGCAGTTTATGCCCGAAGCGTCCGAACAGGAAAAGGCTATGTTAGTAATGAAAACTACCAGCTGAGCGGTCCACGAGTGGATGTCTAGACAAGGACCGGAGGTCTGTAATAGCTTTGAGGAGCTGTGTCAGGCAATGATTGGAGAATTTTCGGTTTTTATCGATCCCAGCTGCCGTGGCCGCTGCGCACCATATTAAGCACGTAAAAGCTGAAGCCCCTCGCGACTATTATGAGAGGCTTAGGTGCACTTATTTTGCAGGGCGGAATGAAGAGGGTTGCGAAGAGAACGTGAATTTCAAAGGTTTATTCATTGCTAATCTGCATCCCTCAGTCAGGAAAATGATTGT